CTTCCCCTACACAAGTCGTTCAGTCGACTTCAGGGGTTGAAATTCACTCGTAAGGGGGTGAATTAGGGAGAGTATTATTATTATTATTATTATTATTATTATTATTATTATTATTATTATTATTATTATTATTATTATTATTATTATTATTATTATTATTATTATTATTATTATTATTATTATTATTATTATTATTATTATTATTATTATTATTATTATTATTATTATTATTATTATTATTATTATTATTATTATTATTATTATTATTATTATTATTATTATTATTATTATTATTATTATTATTATTATTATTATTATTATTATTATTATTATTATTATTATTATTATTATTATTATTATTATTATTATTATTATTATTATTATTATTATTATTATTATTATTATTATTATTATTATTATTATTATTATTATTATTATTATTATTATTATTATTATTATTATTATTATTATTATTATTATTATTATTATTATTATTATTATTATTATTATTATTATTATTATTATTATTATTATTATTATTATTATTATTATTATTATTATTATTATTATTATTATTATTATTATTATTATTATTATTATTATTATTATTATTATTATTATTATTATTATTATTATTATTATTATTATTATTATTATTATTATTATTATTATTATTATTATTATTATTAATTATTATTATTATTATTATTATTATTATTATTATTATTATAGAATGGATATGGGATGAGGCCACTACGTCTGTACAGGAGACTCCTTTTGATTCGGATGATGAACCTTTTTTTATTTTTATTATAATCTTTGTTTTTGAGAATCTTGTTTACTTTTTTAAATAGATTTGGTAAATCACCTTTTTAATTCGTTTAATTTATTGATCTTATTTAAGAATAAAAATAAATATCAGGAAGTTGATATATATATATATATATATATATATATATATATATATATATCGGATATTTTGATATTTATATAAATATCATGATATTTTCGAACCCTGTAGATGATAATCTGCTGAATAACTCAAAATATTGTTTGCTGATAATAGCAAGCAATTTGACACAACACCGTTTTCATTACCGGCATTTATAATACGTTTTTCTCTATTTACAGAAGCATTTACAAAACATTTATCAGATTGAAGAGGTTGAGTGGGTAATAGGAAATGAAGCGAGAGGGTATTTAAAGTGTGTAAATATTGAGTTTTATTTAATAAAACTCCATAAAATAATTCGTCTGAGCGCTTTCGGCCTCTTAAGCCATCATCAAAGACTTCGTCAAAAAAACTTTAGAAGACACATGAAAAAGTAAACTAAATTACTAAGAGACAGCAACTGATCAGTCCCAAGTCTCCACCATAGCTTGCAGCTTAGATAATTGAAAATTGAAAAATCAATCCGAAATTCGGTAACTGACCCAGTGTAAAATGTGGTTAGATTTTAACAAAAGAAGTGGAGGTTCATCCGACCATGTAGAACTAAACTATGATACTACCGAGAACAAGAAACTGCTATTCTTCCACATAAAGGCAGCAAGATTCTGCCAATTGTTTGCCTTTAAAAAAAAAGAACCCTGTGCGTATTTTTTGTACTCCAACTTGCCTTCGCCTCACGAAAGCAATTGGAAAAATCTTGCTGCCTTTATGTGGAAGAATAGCAGTTTCTTGTTCTCGGTAGTATCAGAAGTGTTTAGTTCTACATGGTCGGATGCAGGACCGGCCTCAGGATAGGGCGATGCGGGCAGCCGCCCGGAACGCAATGATCTAGGGGCGCCAAAATCATGGAAAATGAAAATAAACTGATGAAAAATTAAGTTACAAGCTTTTATAAAATGCACTAAAAAGTAAAGAATATTTTTTTCTGATATCATCTCAATAAATTATTTTTCCGCCTACCTATATCCAAAGTATACATTTTTTGGCCTCATTGCAGGGAGCAAAGTCGTACTTTTACTCCCTAGGGAGAAAAAGTAAAAGTGACGTCATGGTATGTCATAAATGAAATAGCTTACACGGCATTGACGACCTAAACTATATTCTATTATATAAGTATAGATTTTACTATTTATTTATAGAACACCCTGTATTTTGCAAAATAGTAAAAACCAGTAAATTGTTATTTTAATTTAACGATTTTTACATTAATAATTTGACTTCAATTTATAGATTCATCCGATTTTCGAATTTAGGACAGAAATATTATAGCATGCTATGGTCGATTGACAGATCAGTTTCAAAGTGTGTTACGCTATAATATATCTACAAATTATAAAATAATATTTAAAAAATGAGTGATTTAAGCCAATTTGAAGATATAATTAATACACCACCGGATATTTTGGAACAGGTTAATGCAACAGTACAATCTCTATTACCCCAAAAATCTAAAGAAAAATACGAAAAACAATATTTACATTTCAAGCAATGCGCCGAAGAAAATTATTTAAAAATGACTTGTTATTTGAGGGAGGCGGAAAAATCATATGTATTACTACATACATACTACATACAAATAGCTATTTCATTGTCATCGGACCCTTCTAAGTATACCAAATTTCATTGAAATCGGTTCACAGAAATTTTCTCAAAAACGCGTAGCAAGATTTGACTGATAGTTGACAAGATTAAGAGGCGGCAGGCGAAATTTATCATTTTTACTTTCCTATCTGTATACAGATATAAGGAAAGTATAGGAATCATGATTTTTTTCGACCTCGAGTTTTCGACGGATTTTTACTATGCTAAATGCTAAATGCTAAAACTCATATAGATTGTTTGAAATCATGGATTGAATTGAAGCAAAGTTTGAAAATAGGTGAAACAATAGATGCAGTTTTTCAGAGACTGGTATGAATAAAAACAAAGTAGATGCTAATGCTACAATTTTAAGGATCTACTACGAAGTTTCTGCTTCATCATGAAGCATCTGGTCAGTTCCGGTAGTATTTGCTTAATGTCGAAGTATTTACTACACTGCTTGTAATATCTACTTTTATTACGTAGTATTTGCTTCAAAATATCTAGCATCTTCCCAGTTTGACTTCTGCTCGAGAATTAGCAGGCTCTGGCAGGTTTCTAAGATTTTTTGTTTTATTTTTATTTGAAATATTGAAGTGGTTGTGTAAAATGTCATCAGATGAAGAAATGCCCCATCAAGAAGAGTCCCAAAATGAAGACTTACAATTAGCTTTTGTTATAATGCTAGAAGATCATAAGATAATTCTGGATAAAAAAATGATACCTGCTATTAAATCTGCAAAAGACAAAACCCTTAAAGAATTAATGGAGATTTATAACAGCAATACAAAACAAAACTTAGATATTAAACAAGTATTAAAAAAAGTTAATAATATGAAAAGTAAAATAAAGAAAATTACGGATATGAAGAAAACAGGAAATAAGAAAATAAAATTAAATGAGTGGCAACAAAAGTTTTATGACCTATGGAACGGAATTGAAAATCCAGTAATTCAAAGAGTTCCAGGTATACTTACACGCCTTTTTTTTGTAAATTCATTACAAATACGCAATGTAGTATTATAGTATGTATGTGTGTGTAGTATGTATCTAATATGTGTAGTCTATTATTATACGTAATTTGCAATGTAACACGTTTTTAGGGGGCGTGATTGCAGGTACCAGTAGATATGAAAATGTAGATCGATTAAGTGATGAAGAGGATGGGACACCTTTTAGTGATGAAAACGAATCGATTAAAAAGTTGCAAAAAAAGTTACTTATTCAACAAATAAATACTGCTATAGCTCAAGAAAGAGCTGCTAAAGTTCAAGAAAGGGCTGCTATATCTCAGGAAAAAGCTGCTATAGCTGTAGGAAAAGCCGCAGGAGCTGTAGAGCAATTTGTAGAAGATTACTTTGCACAACAACATTCGAGCATTTAAAATAATTCAAAAATAAAAACGAATCTGTGTCGTTTTACTAATTAGTTGTTTTTGTTAAAAGACAATTGAGGTTTACGTTCTATTATTTTATAAATAAGTTTATTAGGTTTAATTATTGTGATATAAGTGTTCATTGAAATATAAAATAAAAACTAACAAAACAATATTTATTAATTTAATGTTTTAACGTTGTCTGTGCATCAGTTCTGCAATTTCATTACGAAATTGGATACCGCGGCGTCTAATGTCAGCGTTATTTCTTTCAGCATATAATTCAGGCATAACTGGTTCTTCTTCTACATAAATTTGTTGAAATTCTTCATATGGATCGTTCAAAAACTTAGCACAATTATGTAAAATAAATCCACACATAATATATCGACATATTCTATCAGCTTTAAGTCCGATTGTATGATTTAACATTGGAAATCTCCTTTTCAACTGCCCAAAGCATCTTTCTATAATAACCCGTTCTCTTGCATGCATTTTATTAAAATATCTTTCAATATTTGTTGACGGATTTTTAAATGGTGTAAGCATCCAAGGAGTTATTGCATATCCGGAATCACCCAAAAGACAAACTCTTTCTCGATTGTTATACATAATAGGGTAAATCAAAGAATTGTATCATATTCTAGAATCGTGGACAGATCCAGGCCATGTTGCATCTACGCTGGTTGTTACGGTTTCACCGCAACTATATTTTCAAATCAGAAAGTCTAATTAAAATAAATAAGTAACTTACTTAAATTAAAAAGCAAATCATATTTACAAACTTTATTTACAACTTCAGTCATTCCATACTCTCAGTTCCTGATATAAATAAGTAGATAATTGATTTGTTTACAAAAATTGTTTGTACATTGTTATATAGGTTAGGTAGTTCCAATCTGCTATGTCAACCTAAGTACTTCTTCTTTTATTTTAGTCCTTGGGTATCTTAAGTAATTTCACTTATTGGAAGGTGACTAATTGTCTTAAATGGTATAAGCTTTTGGTCTGGGAGAGGAACTTCTAGAAGCTTGATTTTTTTTTTCTCTAGTTTTTGTGGAAATTGTTTTTTTTTTGGGTATATCTTGTGCTGGTTGCAGTTATCGTTTTACGGATTTTATACTCTGAAACAAAAATAAACTGGTTAAATTTGAATTACTAGTTTTCTGTTGAAAATTTGCACTATAAGTGGATTTCCCGTAATTCAATTTAAACCTTTGAATTTCCCAAGGCCGATCCCCAACTTCGGTAAGTACCTCGTGAAATGTACAATACCCTATACCTATTTTACATTCTGTTTCTTTATTTTTAGGCCTTTTTTTTTTTCTTTTTCTCCTACTCTTATTCTACGCTTTTACTCTTCGTTCTATTTTCTTAGACGTATTTATATTGGAAAAAACTACTTAACTGATTATAAGTAACACTCAAGGTGACGTTGCTGGCACATCAGATAGAATTCAAGATCTTAATGCATGCTGCTTGTTGCTTGCCGCAGTCCTCCAGCGCTGTTGATGCTATTTCCTGCATGTTGCTTATTTGCTATTCGTCCTATTTTACCAGCTCTGTTTCGTCCGCTAGAGCCTGCCTGCTGTTTAGTGCCTGCATCTTGAGCCTGGATATTGATTGCAAGTAAGAATTTTCCAGTTTTATTGTATCTTTGTTACTGGTGGTTGAGCTGAAACGAAAATAATTCATCATTAAACTGTTTGTGTGATAATAATTGTACCTAAAATTTATGTAGTGTAAATATATTAAATTACGGTTCTGTGTGAACCAATTGGTCCAATTGGGGCAACCCTCGGTACTGGGTATCCCTTGTATATAAAATTAATGTCACCAAATATCACGATAAGCTAGAAACTAACCAGACAGATTGTCTATCCAATAAATGTATGCACCGCAAGTTTTGTTTTAATTGGGTGCATGAATCCCTTTTCGCTCTCGTAACAAATAGCTATTGGATAGACAATCTGTCTGGTTAGTTTCTAGCTTATCGTGATATTTGGTGACATTAATTTTATATACAAGGGATACCCAGTACCGAGGGTTGCCCCAATTGAACCAATTGGTTCACACAGAACCGTAATTTAATATATTTACACTATATAAATTTTAGGTACAATTATTATCACACAAACAGTTTAATGATGAATTATTTTCGTTTCATGGTAAACATCTCTTTACTATCACACGTGGCTTGTACATTTATTGAGGGAATTCCTTTTCTATTTATATATTCGTCACCATGTACATATGGTTTTAAAATTCTAAAATGAGTGCAGTCAATTGCACCAATAACATTGGGTATTGCATGATGTACTGCCCAATCATCTTTAACTATGTTAAAGGTATCGCCTGTAGGGTATTTAATCCGATATTTTTTATTGTTGCATATGGCACGTGAAACTTTATCAATAATTTTTGACACAGTTGTCTGATGGATCTCAACATCAACTCCAACACCTAGCTGAAATCCAGGGTCTCCTTAAACAACGATAGTCAAATTAATTATTTCATTTTGTCATTTATTATATTTTGGGTATACTTTGCATCTTTTTCCTATTTAATTTTTATTTTAACATACCTAAGCTTCTTAAAAACACTTCCATTTGCTGAATGTGTGTGAGCGCACAGCCTCTAGTTTCGTTTGCTTCTGTCAGAAATGTATTAGCTAGGTAAGATACGTTATTCCTATTGAACCTAAAAGAAAGACGGAATTAAAAAATGATCGAAAATGTATACCTTATTTTAAGTTACCGGAATATTTTATGATACAAAACATCATCATTGTAGTGTCTTCTTTCATTGTATATTTTTCTTCTGCGTATTTCATCCATATTCAAATAAAAGTAACTGTACCAATCTCAGAGAAGCTGCTGCTATACCAACTTCGCTAACGTCAAGCAAATACTAAATTTCTTCTTGAAATCGAAGTATCTACTGTAAGAAGTCGGTACTTCAAATTGCAGTAAATACTTTAGTCATTTTCACGAGAGTGCTACTTGGTGTAGTAGGTTCCGGAAAAATTAAAAGTATCTACTTTGAAATAGAGTTCCTTCTTAGTTATGAAGTATATACTTTGTAGAAAATGCTAATACTTCTAGTATTAGCACGTACTTCGGTTTTATTCATACCACCCATTGATTCTGAGATAAATCACTGGTCTGAAGTTCTTTTACGCATTATATCAGTCGTTAAAATGCTAGGTGAGAGCTCTCTAGCTTTTTAAGGAACACAGTTGGAAGAACACTTGTATAAATCTCTCAATATCTAATGATCATATAACTTTATTAGATTGTACGTAATTTGATGTTCATATCTTTCAGACAGATCACATTATCAAGCTCTGTCAAAGTTTTTCATACCTATAAATTTTAATGAATATTGTTGCAATCGGATGTTTGTATTTGAGCTACAATAATATACATTTATATTACATATTTTTCTTTTTAATTTTAAATTTGTATATGTATATTTATGTTTTCTGCCTTTGTCAATAAGATGTATTTCTTTAACAATAAAGCAATTTAAATTAAGAACCTGCGTATATCAAGCAGAGACTCCTGTTACTCGTAGCATCTAAATCTTTGTCGATGTATGTAGTGGAGAGAGCATAAGTTGATGCTTTCTATTATATGCATGTTCCTATTAAACTGTGTTAAACTCATTATAAGGTATACCTTCTATGTTGAAAATTCCGCAATTGTTTAGTATCCTAAAGATTTTTTAATATTAGATAGTTTTCTTTGAATTAAATGTTATTTATTTCTTATAATGTGTACACCTAGTATTATTATTAAAATAACTACTTGCAATATATGTTTTTTTTTTCAAGGATTTTCAAATATTGGGTAATATTCTTTGAATTATGTGTCTCATTTATTTTTTTAATAATTTTTACACCTGGTACCAACTATTATTAAAATACTTGCAATATTTTTTAAATATTTCTGTAGAATCTTACAAGATTTTCAAATAAAAGAAATAGTTCAAATAATAAATAACTAGTTTTTTTCTTCATTGGTCCCCAACCTAAACTTAAATTTGTATTTATTTCCAAGATTAAGTTTTAGTAGGTATAATAATGTAATAAATATTTCACTCGTTGTGTACAATATTCGACTCGTAAGCATCTGATATTTATTTGTGGTCAGGAGACAACAAATAGTTGTAATTCCATAGCAAAAATGGTTAACTCTCTACAGGAAAGAATCAAAATAATGTTCGTTTATGAAGAAGTTAGAAAATGCGCACGAAGGGCAGCATTTTAATTGAAGACATCCTAATCATAATGTAAGTCTCGATTTGGTAGTAAAGGTTTGAGAAACCGATTCGGTGAAAAATAGGAAAAGAAATAACAGAGAATACTAAATGCAGAAGCTCAAATTGAGGTTTTGGGAACATTTGTTGCAGTGCCAACTAGCTCCATACGAAAAGTAGCAGAACAGACGGGGATATCACTCGAGACTGTAAGAAGAGCACTGAATATGCATAAATGCAGATACTTTAAGAGTTCTACGAAGATGAGTTTGATAGAAGAATAGAGTTTTGTGAAACCATGTCTGATCAAATCTGATCAACCCTAATCTTCTGCTGAATATCTGTTTCAGCAATGAATCTTCATTTTTTCTAAATGACAATGTTAATAAACACAAATGTTGGTACTGGAGTGATTAACACCCGCATATTATTCAAATATTACGCAATTATTGGTTCTTTATTTAATGAAGGAAACTTGCCAGGCGATCTGTCCCTTAATATGCTTGAAGAGGCTATTGATCCTATTATAAACTCACGAGCTAGAAATTCAAACTGATGCAGAAAGTAATTTAGTTTTACAGGAGGATCTGTTAGATTTCCAGCAGGATGCTGCTACACCTCATTTTTTCTTCTCGTCTGACAGAGATTTACAGTCCCTTGGATTAGTAGAATGGGAACAATTGAATGGCCCCCACGATCACCTGATGTAACTCCCTTAGACTTTTTTATTTGGGGACACCTTAAATCCGTTGTTTATAAAATACAACCTGCTAATATTGATGATCTTAAAAGGCGAATTACAGAAGGTGAAATTTTTCCGAAATGTTAGAGGAGTGTTGGGAAAAAGACTTTTTACTGTTTACAGTACAATGGACAACATTATGAACAGTTTTTAAAATACTGTACAAGTAGATCTATTTTTAAAATTTCTTGTGCACATTAAAAGTTATTTATTTTGTAAAAGTTACGTAACCAAAAAAATAAAAAATTAAACGTGTAGACTTGATATTCCTCCTATTATTCAACTTGATAGAATAATTTTTGTTTAGAAACTTAACTGAAAACCAAGAATCTCAGTGCAGGCACGTTCTGTAACTTTGAAATGCATTTTTTCGTACCTGCTGGTCAGAAGATAATAATTTAGAGTAATAATGAGGGCAACATAAGGATCTATTCTGTAACAATTCCTTTATATTTAACGGTCTTTAAAAATATTGGCGGCCTATAAAAACATGTTCGTATTCGTTAATTTACTTCTGTCATTATTTAAACAGATTTCTTTAAGATAGTCCTCTAATGTATTTTAAAGATCCGTTTAAATAATGACAGAAGTAAAGAAGAAAATATTTTTAAAGGCCGTTAAATATAAAGGAATTGTTACAGAATAGACCCCATACTCCTTCTAGGAGGTTGAGTCGCGAGTTTTAAAAGTATTAATTATAGGTGTCCTCCTTGAAAATAAAATTGATGGGTGTTTGCGATTTTTTATATTATTTACTGAAAGAAAGATATTTAATTTTAGAAGTTTTCGGTGTTACCCTGTATGTATATCACTTGTTACCTAAGCACTAAAAAAGAAAAAAATAAATACAAAAATTTAAATAGTACCTGAAGGGTCTTTTAATTAAAGACTACTCGTTAGATGAATTTATAATTTATTTTTAAACTTTCGATACATTTTTACGTACCTATGTGAGCATTGTATTGTATTTTATTTATCTATGGCTAATCATGATGATGAATGTTTATTTCAACTAATACACAATCTGGTTTAATTATTTATTCCTCTTACTAAAAAAGTATTAGTAATTTGCATTTAATTATATGTATATTTTCATTGAATTAATAAAAAACTGAGTACAATCCTGGAATCACTCAACTACACAGACGATCCACTACTTTGACAGGTTCTTCTTGTATAAATGTTTTCTGAAATGACAGTTCCTATCTCCCCCTCTCCATATCTATGGTTATAACTTTTTTTGAAGGTTGAACAAACGAAAATTTTTGTTGGACAACTGTGGACAAATCATGGACAAACGAATGCCAATTTTATTTTATAAACATTCGTATTTGGCGGTGCTAACTTTACAAACCTGATTGTCGTTGACATTGATGCTTCCATCTTTAGGGATTTATACGTAGGTAAATATTTAATGCTTCGTGTATACGGACGTAAGAGCAACAATTTAGAACCAATTTTTTCCATTATGAAAGTAGTAAGCAAGTTGTTAAGATAAGAGAGAAGATATTAAATTAAAATAAAATAATTATTTTACATACATGAAGAGCGAAAATACCAAATGCAATAAGAACCAAATTCACAGATTTAAGATAATTAGGAATCTTATTTTAATTCACATAAGCTTAGAAATTATATGGCACTTAGAACCTTTGTGAAGATATTGGTAATGG